CGAAAAAAAAGATATATAGGGAGGTCTGCTCGAGGCCGGCCAAGCATATGTGAATCGTCCCAAATTTGAAAACCGAAAGCGAGGTTTTGGAGAACTTATTAAAATGTACCCATAGCAGATCCATCATCGTATATGAGGTACAACTGTACCTCTAAATTTGTACATGTGCGAGTTATTTCGTGTGTATAATTATACCTCATAGCAGATCCATCATGGCTGTTAAAAAAGTTACACTTAAAATTATAAAATAATATATATATATATATATTTTTTTTGAATTTTTGGTACTTCTTTAAAAACCCATATTATATTTATATTTATAATGACACCCATCACCTATAGGATTTATTTATTGGGAAAAATACGCTGAATTTTTCAGGAAGTCAAATCTATAAAAATGAAATAAAAGCAAAAAATTGGACACGTCAAATTGATAACGAAGTTCGACAAATAATACCTACGTCTCCTGACTACTGCAGATATTTTATTAAGAGAAAAAGAAATTACACTCGTGTCTACAAACCACTCTCAAACTCACTCACAACTCACAACTCAAAAATACACACAAAGGTTAAATATTATTTCTTTTTTTTTTTTTTTCGGGAACGATAGATGTACTATTATAAATCAAAAGCGCATAAATGTGCGAATAAAAATACAAAGCTCCCAACGAGAGAATAAACTGGGAGGACAGGTCAGAAGCCCGCCTAGAATCCCGCTAGCAACGCTAGAATAAAACTCAAACTAAACAGACCAACTACTCGACCACGACCCCAAAGGGGTAATAAAAACACTACAAACAACACAAACAAACAACACAAAGACCCCAACAGGGTAATACCGAGTGTCGGACCCAACAAGGTAATAAATAATATTATTTTCTATTAGCTCACTCTTTTTTTTTTTTTTTTTTTTTTTTTTTTTTTTTTTTTTTTTTTTTTTTTTTTTTTTTTTTTTATTTCTTGCACCCTTGTTCCTTTATTTATAGTTGAGGGATGCGAGGGATGCAACAATTTGTCCACAAAGACTGCACACGTTCAGCTTCCATAATTGAAAGCCTTTACATGTTCAGCAGCCAAATGTATTAAATGCATTAACACTCTTTTTTTGCTTGAACTCAACACTACTCATATTATATTATAAGATTTTTTAACTTATTACTATATTGTAGTTAAATTGATTTAAATAATTTTACTTTTGTTCAATAACATTAGTAATAATTTAGTTTTTTATTATGAAGATAAATATAATAAATTTATTTATTGTATTTGTACAATATAGATGTCGAATCAAAGTTCATCGAAAGATGATTAATAAAATTATAATAAATTCAAAGTTATTAGCTTTTAAAATTTATTTATAATTTAAGTTAGTAATTTATTTATAAATTTTAAAAGAAAAGTCTGAGGAAAATTATGCCTTATAAACCACTTCTAAAATAGGAAATGATATTAAAACATAACTAATTCTTAAAAAAAGATCATACATATTTAATATATTTATGGTTATTCTAGATTTATTTATTTTTTATCAGAAACAAATTAAAATTTATCTAAAATATGTAAATTCTAGGCACAATTTGAAAATATATACAATGAAAATATAATATGATGGTATTTCAATTAGGGGTGCACATTCGGTTAAATCGAACCGAACCGACCGAATTTTCGGTTTGTCCGTTACACAAACCGATATTTATGGTTCCGTTCGGTTTTAACCGAAAATCTACTACCGGTCGGTTCGGTTCGATAATCGGTTAATTACAATGAATAATTATTAATTAAATAATTGAGCAACGACCATAATTTCATAGATTAAAAAATTGAAACACTCAAATTGGGGAGTCGAATATTCGGTTTCGGTCAGTTCGATTCGGTTAACCTTATTATGTGCACCCCTAATTTCAATCAGGACAAAGGAGTAGAAATGAGCAAGTAATTGATCGAGCTTGCCAATTATGTGAAAGGAAAAACATCTTTGACCCAACGGTCAAAATCAATTCCAATTCCCGTTAAAACACATTTTCCCTTTCAATCATCTTCTCCCTCATCTCTCTCCCGGCACTGTTGGTTGTTCCCAGCACGTGCTCCCCTCTCTCTCGTCACGTGCCCTTTCTCTCTCTCCGCCACTGCACATACAATCACGCCTCTATCTCACTGGGCCATCCACCATCACCGCCGCCGCTGCCGCCGTCGTCGTCGCAATTTGAATCTGCGCTCTCCTGCACCTGCGCCGGAAACTCCGTCGCCATTTTACTATGATGTGAAGGAGCGGCGCGATGCACGCCTACAATCGGCTCCCCAGCAGCGGACACAGCAGCCCCTCGTCGCCGCCGGCGTCTCCGTTCAGCCGCTCCCCGCGGTACCGCTACCGAGGCTCCAAATCGGGGAGGCCGCCTCCGAAGACGATCGCGCAGCGCCTCGCCTGGATCCTACTCTCCGTCCTCTTAAAGCGGCAGGGGATTTTCCTGTTCGCGCCCCTCCTGTATATTGCGGGGATGCTGTTCTATATGGGGACGGTAACGTTTGATGTGGTTCCGGTGATCAAGCACAGGCCTGCCGCTGGGTCGGTTTACCGGAGCCCTCAGTTGTTCGCCAAGCTCCGTCCCGAGATGGACTCGGATAATTCCACGGCCGATGCGGTTAGTGCTTCCACTTTCGTGCAACAATCTTCGTAGTTTTTTTTTTTGGGGTAAACTATTGTCTTGTCATTGGTAATTAATTCTGAAGTACTAAGCAGTTGTGATTGAGATTGAAAATGACTTACTACTGTTCATTTAGACGCTAAACCTTCCTAGTACTCGTCTACTAAAATTAATTATAACTGGTGTGTTTTCAATCAGTTGAAAACTGATAAATCCAAGACAATGTACCTTTTCTCTTGCTCCTAAAGTTTTTCAAATTTCTGACATTGATTGAGTATTAGGAAATGGGTTTTTATGATTGACAGCTATTCCTTCGTTTTCGATCCAGATCTTTTAAGACAATTACATTATCTTTTTGATGTCATTCTGAGGTGTTTAATGATTTCCAGGGAAGTGGAGAAATCACTTGCTCCAGAAGGCAAAATCCTATTTAGGTTTAATGAAAAGCTGTAGTTTGTTTAATGATTTCCAGGCAGGTCGAGGAAAAGCACTATATTTATGCTCCCAGAAGTTTCGGATTAGTCTTATCAAGTTCCTATTAAGGTTTAGTGAAAAACTGTAGGCTGTTCAATGATTTCCAGGCAGGTGGAGGAAACACTATGTTTATGCTCCTAAAACTTTCGAATTAGCCTTATTAGCTCCCTTAAGTCTTGAATGTGGATAAATTGCAAAAAGAACATTTTGCTGCTTGATAGCGCAGGGGGAAATGATAGTGTAATTTCAGTAACATTAATTAACATCATGGAAACCTTGGACATCAGGCAGTGGTAGATCGAGACATCATTGTACTTCTATTACCAAGCCGTTTTCAGATGAAAAATGCATTGATTATGTTGACTGCATTTTGAGGATGCTGTTCATGCTTTCCTGACTCTGAGTGTGAGAATGATTTGCTTGATCATTCTCTTAGAATCAATTTTCAACCGTTGTTTTAGGATCGATCTTTTGGGGAAATTGCTTAATAAAAGTGTGATTTAAAGAATTCATCAACTTGGGAATTAAGTTGAATTTACTATCTCGACTCGCCCTCGAATCATGTGTCATCCCAAGGTTGTTTCTCCGAATTGTTGGTTTTTTTTTTTTTAAATTTTATTTTAGAGGGAATCTTGTCTTTGAATAATTGATGCATATGTATGTACGGGTATGTTAGTGACAGAAATAGCCGGGTCTGTGTTTTACGTCAGAGTTTTTGATGTATTAATCATCTGCTAAATGTTGGTAGTTGGAGTTCTAAATCACAGATATTAACAATATGGAAGCACTCATATAAAAGTGGTGAATGGAGGCCTTGCATCAACATGTCTTCTAAAGGTATGAAGATTCCTCATTGTTATGCCTTTGGATCTAGTTCTTTTTTTCTTCAAATTTTAGGTTATTTATCTTTCTTGCTACGAAGATTGCTATCTAATATGGTTGGAAGAGCCAATTGAAAGCATACTGTATCTGACTAGATAATCGAGACCCAATATTTACCGGGAAGTGGAAAGAGAAAAAGATGCTTTCAAAATAATGTAGCTTTCACATTTTATTCTCCAGAATTGGGCTTCATTTCAAATGCACATATTCAAATACTGAGCTGATTATAACTGCAGACTACTTGCTTTCATAATTTGTTAATGGTAAGGAGGGTGAATAATTCATGACTCCTGCCATGAATTTTGTGGTCCCTTTCATATGTTCATTTTTCTTGTAGTCTGCTCAAAGGCATGTGTAGATCTGAAATTCTGTGACCATCAGCTTAATTTTGGCTTGGTTGAGCTTTTCTACTTTGACCCACATTTGGTCTTAACTATTTTTGTCTTTTAAAAATGTGTGACACATTGCGGATGTGCTTTGTTCTCTTGATGAAAAAGATCTAGGTCTGTTTTTAATATAGTATTATAAAATTATTCCTTTTTTTATCTTAGATTGATTCACTTTTCTGGTGCTTTAATCATACTAATTGGAGTGGCATATATGGTTCCAGATGCTGGATGCATTGAAGTAAAAAGGGTTGTGCGCTTAAGCCTACTAGTTAGTTGATTAAAACATCTAATAATTTTTCCGCATGTGATTGATGTTGATGTTACTAAAGGAATTTATGAGCTATTCACAAGACAGATATTGTGATCTCTCTTGTCTTTTTTTTGTTATTGGAAGTCAATATAACTCCTCTGTGTTTGTGCCTTTTCATTTGGTAATATATGATAGTACTAATGCATCATCTCTTGGTTTTATCCCTCACCTGTCAAATATCTAGGCATATACGAGACCATGGTCCATAATTTTTAATAGTCTTATATTCCTTTGTGGCAGTCAGCATTCTTGCTAAGTAGATGTGGTCATCTGTTGTCTTTTTTATTCTTCTCATCTCATCTCATGTTTTTCTTTCTCTTGTATTTTTATTGTGGTCTTACGATTTTTTGTTTCTGTAATTTCATTGAGCTTCAAACATGGAATGTAAAATTCATTAATATTTTCATTTTCATTTTTTTTTTTTTTTGGGGTAGGCTTACCGGAATCAAATGGGTATATTTTTGTCGAGGCCAATGGTGGTCTAAATCAGCAGAGAACATCAGTAGGGCTTTTTTTTTTTTTAATCTTCCTTGTTTTTGTTGTTCTGGGGATTTCCTTTTACTAACATTCATATGGGTTTTGCGGCACACTCTATCCAATATTTGGTTTTCCAGATATGCAATGCTGTGGCAGTGGCAGGCTACCTCAATGCAACTCTTGTCATTCCAAACTTTCACTTTCACAGCATTTGGAGAGATCCAAGGTTGGGAACATTTCTATCGATTTGGCATGGCCATTAGTTTACTTAAGATATGGTAATTTAACAATAACAAATGAGTGTTTTGCTTCGGTTTTTTTCCTTAGTGAAAGCATATGGCTGTGTCCGTAGTGCATATGAGTCGTTCAATTTTGTAATGTTGTAATTGCTTATATGCACATATAAATTCCCGTCCGATGCATTTTTACTGAAAATTCTAGATTTGGTCGTTTCCATATCAGCTTATTTGAAAGGGAAATAAACTAACACGTCAGAGTAGGGGAGGTTGCTGAAACTTTATAGAATTCTTATACCAAGCTTGTGATTGTGCTTGAGTTTGATTTGATTCTTGATGAGCCTTTCCTTGAGTACATTTGCAAGAATCCTGTTTTCAGTTGTCTTGCTAACTATGACCTCTCTCTTATGCTCTGGAGGTTCAAATTACATTCAGTTACTTTGTTGTACATTTTAGAATCTATATTACTTGGCGTGGTTAAGTGCTTACGATCATCACTGTGCCTGTCATTATTGGGGACTAAGCACTAGGAAATGAGCTTCTTAGCGTGAATTAAGTATACATTACTAGTCAAGAGTGTATTTCCGTCTAGTTTTGGGTCAGTTCTTGTAGATATGTGTGTATTATCTCTATTTACAATACTACATTGTCACTCTTTTAATCAATAACAATGGGTTCATTTGTGAACTAATAACTATATAAATAATGAGAAGTAGATAACTTGGGAAGTTGTTTGAGTATGCCTCTAGAGTGTTTGGTACTCTGAAGGTGATTTTGTTTCTCGACATTATGGTTGCCACTTTAAAGTGGCAGTTAATCACTGTGGAATATTTCCTTGTGTTGCGATGAATGCTTTTACCTTTATGGCTGTGTTAGATCATTTTTCATTTAAGAAAGATAAAATGCCTTATGTAGAGTGGCAGTAAATCACTGTGGAATATTTCCTTGTGTTGGGATGAAGGCTTATAGCTTTATCGCTGAGTGAGATCCTTTTTCATTTAAGAAAGATAAAATGCCTTATGTTGCTTTTCTATGTGCAGCAAATTTGGTGATATTTATGATGAAGATTTCTTTATAAAAACACTAGAAAATGATGTGCGGATAGTTAGAACAATTCCGGGCCACATAATGGAGAGGTTTGACTATAATATGAGCAACGTTCACAACTTCAGGATAAAAGCATGGTCATCTATCAAGTACTACACTGACACAGTTCTTCCAAAGCTACTAGAAGAAAAGTGAGTTCTTAAGGTTTCTTATACTCATTCCTGATGGTTCATCATTTTTCCCTTTTTCTTTGAGAGAAAATGTGTTTCCATTTTAGTACGTCCTTTATGGCTCTTTTCCTTTATTTTTTTTCTTTCTTTTTTTTTTTTTTTTTTTTTTTTTTTTTTTTTTTTTTTTTTATTTGAGGTTTCTGAACGATATGACTGATATCGTTGTCATACAAAATAGGAAAGCAACATGTTGCCTGGACATTTTGGTTTCTGATAATATGTTTATAATTAATAATTGTTCATTCTGAAGGAGAAAGTTGACTTTGTCTTTTTCTCACTCATGTAGTAGATTTTTCATTGCAGAAACCTAACTAGTTTCACATAATCTGCCTCCTTTTGAACTCGTTGCCTTTTCTATTGGCTGATTCAGGATTATAAGAATTTCTCCATTTGCAAATCGACTGTCATTCGATGCTCCACCTGCAGTTCAACGGCTTAGATGCTTGGCAAACTACCAAGCTCTTAAGTTCTCAGATCCTATTTTGACTTTAGGTGAAACATTGGTTGCAAGAATGAAAGAGCGTAGTGCTAATAATAGTGGCAAATATATCTCTGTGCATCTTCGCTTTGAAGAGGTTAGTTAAGCCGGAAAGGGATTTTTCTTTTCTTTCTTTTTTGCCTTCTCTTTTACATGAAAAGTTAGAAGACGGACGTGTTCTCTTCTTTTGTAGGATATGGTTGCTTTCTCTTGTTGCGTATACGATGGTGGGGAGCAAGAAAAACTGGACATGGATGCTGCTAGGGAAAGAGGTTGGAAGGGAAAATTTACTAAACGAGGCCGGGTCATTCAGCCAGGGGCCATCAGATTGAATGGGAAGTGCCCTCTGACACCATTAGAGGTACTGCATTTCCCTTTTTTTTTTTTCCATGCATACTTGGTAGCTTTTTTTTTTTAACAACTGAGTATGGGATGGTCACACACCATTTTATGTTCTACGGATGGGAATCTGGTGAGACTGAAGGATATTAAAAATAGTCCTGTTGTGTTTTGAAACTTCTAGGGCGGAGGAATTTATCATGACACATAACAGAAACCAACAGCTGCAGAACATGACTTATAAACCCATTATTCATTATGAATTTTAATAAGACGTCCCAGGGGAGAATGACATTTTCTTATATAGTGTGAGGATGATTTGTTTTAGGTTGAGACTTAAGTCGTCATTTCATGTCTGATGCCTTAGTCTTCTTATGAATCAAATGTAATGAGGCTGATTCTGTATTTGTTTTAAGATAAGGAAACTCTAAAAGGAAGTGTAATATACCCTTTGCTAGAATAAAAATAGAAGACTTCTTAAAAATTTAACTAGTAAGAGTTTGATGGTTTAACTGTAAAAGCATATGATGTCTGGAAAGGGAAATTAAGTGGACTCAGGATTAGGATGGTGGCTTTAAGTGGGTTGACGAGTTGACTCACCTTGTAAATGACTGAGAATGTATTTGTGATTGTGAACAATTCTTCTGTGGAAAGTCTCTTATCTATTTTGATTGTTAGTGTTTGATTGATGGAATTAATAGATTATATTATGGCAAGTGATAATTGGTGTAGACATAGTTGTATTGTGCGGATGATTTGCTCTGCATGAAGTTGTATTTGAGGTCAAGTGTCATCCTTTTTGGTTTGTTATGTAGTGTTGTGGATAAAGTGCGTTTCATGGTGTTAAGCTTTCTGGACAAAGTGAGTTCAACCTACCTGATCTTTTAACACCATGCACTTTTCTGTTACTGATGTTTTATTGATCAGGTAGGTTTAATGCTCAGGGGGATGGGCTTTGACAAAAGTACTTCGATATTTTTGGCATCTGGAAAAATATACGACTCTGAGAGGTATATGGCTCCTCTTCTAGAAATGTTCCCATTGCTACAAACAAAAGAGATGCTGGCATCTGCAGAGGAACTATCCCCGTTTCAGGTAAAACCCGAACTAACTTTAACCTTTCTCCTTCCCTGTTTCTTGTAGCAAATTTTTGTTCTCATGCTGCTTAATGATTTCACTTGACTTACTCATTAACAGAACTACTCGTCCAGAATGGCTGCTATAGATTACACTGTTTGTCTTCACAGTGAAGTATTTGTCACAACTCAAGGTGGAAATTTTCCTCAGTTCCTTTTGGGGCACAGAAGATACTTGTATGGTGGTCACTCGAGGACAATTAGGCCTGACAAGCGGAAATTGGCATTACTATTTGATAATCCAAACATCGGGTAATCTTTTTCCCTAATGTTTGCTGTGAAACTTTTTGCATCTTTCCCTACTTTTGTGTTATTATTATTATTATTATTTAGGTTTTTACTGTCCTTTTGTTTCGGGTACTTTTCTATTTCCATCTGAAGAATTAGTTTTAGGAGACACCTCTCCTTCACAAGACAAAATAATAATGTTCATTTCTGTAGGTGGCGGAGCTTCAAAAGGCAAATGCTAAATATGCGAGCGCATAGCGACTCTAAAGGTATTGAGATCAAGAGACCAAACGACTCCATATATTCTTATCCCTGCCCGGATTGCATGTGCAAACTGAACAAGACAGATGATTCAAAACCATCATCTGTATCATCAAATGCAACACGATTGATTCAAAGGACAAAGACAAATAGTAATGAAACAAGACAGTAATCGGTTCAGGGGACAGAAACAAACCGAGGTTCTTTTCAGTTCCATTTTCGTAGTTGTGCAAGTGTGGCTGCTAACCCCCATATACATTTAATTGTGATTCTTTAATTTTTTTCTCCTCTTTTTGAACGAGGGCTAAAATTAAAAAAAGAAAACAAAACAACCTTTTTTTTTTTCTTTTGTGTGTGTGTGTGTGTGTCTGAAGATGTTGTGTAGCGAGAATGTGATTGTTTGCCAGGTAATTTGGAAAAAAAAAAATGG